CTGAACCCTAAACCCGAAGCCCCAAGCCTCGTGTGCGCCGTGCGAGCGAGGTGTTGCCGGGCTTGATGCTGCGGCTTCCGGGCGAGTCGAGGAAGCACCTCCTCTCCAGGCCCCGAGTCGGTCTTTAGGGCTTCTTTGGGCTTAGAGTTTAGGGCTTAGGGTTTAGGGCTTAGAATTTAGGGTTTAGGTTCAAATTTTGGGGTTGAGTGTTCTGAGAGGTGTAAACTGTAGGGTTTGGTGTTTCTGGGTTGGGGCTCACCGCTTGAACGAGGCTCGAGAGGCAGAGAGGAAGATCCGAGAGTGGGAAGCCAGTCGCAAGCGACTAGAAGCCTTGAGAAGCAGGAGCAAACCGTTCGAAAGAATGCGGAAGAGCCAATCCGTCGAAATTGGGGAGGTAGTTGGAGCAGCAGGATCAAACCGATGGAGAGAGATTGCAGAGTTTGGCAAGATTCGAGAAGAGTTGGAAACCACAGGAAAGGGATGCCAGCCGGTTTGCTTCTCGTGGAATTATCCTCTTTGTGAGATTCTCTAATATTTATCGAGCAGCTTGCTCCTGTTTCTCAAAGTTTCAGTTTTTGTTCCACTATTCTATTCCTCTTTCTCTGAATTCTTTCCTGTGGAAAACTGCTTGGTCATTATTATTGTTATTCTTGCTCTTATTGTTATTATTGGTAGTATTGTTATTGTTGTTATTACCGCTATTACTCCTCTTGACAAGGTCTCTAGTCTCCGAGCGGTTAGATTCCGTTTGTCACATCTTCGAGTACCTTGCCACTCCGCTGCTCCTCGTTCTCCAGTTCCAAAATTGCTCACCTTCCCCGTTCTCGAACCTCGCTCGAAAGGTTTGTCCCTGCTCAGTTTGATCATTTTCCTCCTTTGTTGTGAGATTTTCTAATCTCTCCCAAGCGTTTGCTCTGTCTCAAGCTCTCCTGTCTCTTTCGGGCGGTTTCCTTTTCTGTCTAAAGCTGCTAACGGGACAACACAAACTGGGGAACCAGTAGCAGGCAGCTCGAAACAAAGTAGAGAACCGGTGAACTAGGGAGCAAGACGCTCGGAAAGGATTAGAGGACTTGGCAAAGAGGGACAAAACCTTGGAGAATGGAAAGTCTGACAGCGAGGAGAGTTTGAGAACGAGGACAACACCAGTCGAAACGGGGTGACCAAAGGAAAAGTGCGAGAGTGAGCAACAAACCAGCCGAAGAGAGCTATAGACGGTTTGAGGAAAATGTGAACAAAAGGAGCTAGCTAATCGAAGCAGACTAAAGACTTTGACAAAACAGGAGAATCTGACCAAAATAGGTTAACTTTCTGACAAAGAGGGGCATATAAAGTTGAAGAGGCAACCCAGACCCTAAACCCTAAACCCTAAACCCTAAACACTAAACCCTAAACCCTAAACCCCAGTTTTAGAAACAGGACCAAGCTGCGCGAACAAACATATGATCGCTGGATAGCGGAGCTGTGAGCCGCTCGAAACAGACTAGAGACTTCGTGAAAGAAGAGTTTAGGGTTTAGAGTTTACGGTTTAGGGTTTAGGGCTTAGGGTTTAGGGAGGAAACCATTCAAGAGGCAATGGAGATGTAAGACACACAAAGCAACACGGTCCGACAGAACATAAACAGCTCCGAGAGGAGGAAACGTTCGAGATAGTCCAGGAACTTGAGGCGCAGAGGAGCGAACCCCTTCGAAGGGAATATCGAAAATTTGACGAAGAGGATATATCTAGAACGAGGTGAGACCTTGATGACAAAAGCGGAAAGTTTGAGAACAAGTAGCAAACCAGTCGAAAGAGATTCGACAATGCGAGAAAACGAATCGTCGGTGTGAGGAGGCTTGGCAATTTGACAAGGACTTCAAGAATCAGGAGCATACCAGTCGAAAAGGATCAGACAAGCTAAGAATCAAGATCAAACCGCTCGAAAGAGCCGAGAGAATTTGACAAAAAGAGGAGCATTTCAGACAGAGTTGCAAACCAGTCGAAAGGGACTAGAAAATTCAAGAACAAGGAGCAAACCGCTCGAAAGAGCTTAGGGAGTTTGACGGGGAGGCGATATTAAAGAGAGATTCCGCTGGAGACGACAGAGCTTGAGAGAGAGGGTAGCAAGATTCTGGAACAAGACGAGGAAATTTACAAACAGGGGAAAAACGCAACATGACAAAGAGGAGAATCTTTAGAAAGAGATGTTCTTGTTCACGTCCCAAACAGTTTGTTGCAAGGGTTCTGGTTTATCTGAATGGAAATGCCAACGTTTGCTCCCAGTAGTTGCCGAAGTGTGTTTGTGGCCTCTTGTCCCATCGCCAGGAGCCTGGCCGTAAGCTCTCCTTTCGAGCGCAAGAAGCACGACCCCATCCACCTCTACCTGCACATGATGGACCCCGGGGGGTTTATTATGGGATTCATATAAGGGCCTTCATATCCCTATATATATATATATACACACACACTATTTTGGGGGTTCCTTATTATAACTATAGTATAACATACCCTAAAACCCTATTCTACTTATTATAAGGCCCCTACAGTAAAAGGTTTGTAGTTCAATATCAGGCTTTGTAGGGTCTCACGCATGCATGAAAGGTCGGACATAAGATTCTACTTGCAGGTATGGGAGTTTCCGAAGATAGGGGACCCTAATATAGTACCCTAAATAGTAGGATCCCTATTATAAGGACCCCAAAATAAGGTATCCCTTATTATCGGAAACCCCCGTATCGACGTCGTGTGGTGCTTCTTGAAGATACCTGCACCCAATAGCAGCCTCGAGTTCGGAACTCGAGCTTCTGGTAAGGGTACCTCGGCCCAAAAGCACCTAAAGCAGATTAAGGTTCGGGGTTTCGGGTTTAGGGTTTAGGGTTTAGGGCTTAGGGTTTAGGGTTTAGGGTTTAGGGCTAAGTTTTGAACAAGAGCTCTGCATCTTCGCACGCGCGAGACGGGGTCAGGACTTCCAGGGGCACCGAGCTTGAGACCTCGCATGGATGGTCTCGATGAGGCCGGCGGCCACGGGCCACAGGTGTTAAGTTCTATCATAAGGACCCTTAGGGGGGGGGATTATGGGGTCTTAGTTCCCGTAATAAGGACCCTAAGGGCCCTAAGGGTCCATATGATTCTAGTTTCGGCAGTTGTTGGGTTCAAGGGATTTAGGTCTGAAGCTTCAGGTTTTCTGGGGTTTGGGCTCGGGGGAGTCTGTGGGTTTCGGGCTTAGTTTTCTGGGTATGGGCCTAGGGGTGTTAAGCCCCGTCAGGACCTGACAAGATCAGATATCCCTTGGGTTTAGGGTTAGGGTTTAGGGTTTAGGGTTTTTAGGGTTTAGCGCCCCTGACAGTGTTTAAAGCATGAGAGGACATTCATGGTCCCCACACACGGGAGTTTTAGCTGCACTGCAGAACATACCTGCGCAAGTCCCTTGTGAAAACTGTGATTGTAAGCGGTATTGAGCTGCTACCACCCTAAAGCCCTAATCACCTTAAGCTCTAAACCCTAAACCCCTACCCCTACACCCTAAACCCTAAACCCTAAGCCCTAAACCCCTAAACCACACCAGCCATCCTCATCTGTCCGATGAACTGATACAGCGCCGAAGGATGGGAAGGAAACGAGCCCTGCGACAGCACAGGCCTGGATCCTACTACTACTACTACTACTACTACTACTACTACCACTACCACTACTACTACTACTACTACTACTACTACTACTACTGCTGCTACCACGACTACTGCTACCGCTACCACTACCACGACGACGACGACTACTACCAACAATAACACTATAGATTTTAATAAATGTAACAAAAGGGTTCGGAATATTCGGCAGGAGTATTCCTTCAAGTTCGTTCATCTATTTACAGTATGATTCTATTGCTCCCCCAACCTTAGTTTAGAGATTCAGGCCCCCACATTTTATGTTTCTAAAAGGCACAGCTTTTCGCAGAAGGTAGAACTTGGGGGTCACAGGTCAGGGTTGTTTAGGAGTGGCCTCAGAGGCAGCCATCACATTGGTAGTTCTGTAAATTAGGGCCTTTTTGGGGGTCCTTTCTATAAGGGTGCCGTACTATATTTGGATCCGAAAAGGGAACCTAAATTGGAGAACTACCCACATGAATAATGCATGATAGTTGTTCGATTCACTTGTTCCACTCGCTTTTGCGAAGCCTTTTTGGGATCTGAGGCACGGCATCGCCTCGGGCGCGAGCCCGCGGAGCCATCATGAGCGCAGATCGGTCGGTGAGTGTTTTGTACGGACACCTGCATTCTGAACCCTAAACCCTAAACCCTAAACCCTGAATTCTGAACCCTAAACCCTAAACCCTAAACCCTGAATTCTGAACCCTAAACCCTAAACTCTAAACCCTAAACCCTAAATCTGATCCAAGAGATCCCAGGTGTCTGGAGGGCCAGAACGGATCCTACACTTTCAAGGCGACGCCTAAGTGCGCCAGCGTAGTGATTTGGTTTGCAACGACGAGGTGTGGCTAGACAAAAAGCAGACATCAGTTTAAGTAAATTAGTGTTTTCGCCCATGGGATGGTTTAAGTTGCTTAGGAAGGTGCAAGAAGAGCCCCAGGACAGCCCAGAAGAGCTGGAAAAGCCCAGGAAGAGCCTAGAAGAGCCCAAGAAGAGCCCCAGGAAGAGCGCAGGAAGAGTCCAGAAGAGCCCAGATTACTTCAAAGCGGACTTGATCAGGGCGCCAACTACGCCGGCGAATCCCAAACCCTAAACCCATGTGTCATTCCCAAATCTAGCGGGTAAGGCCCCAACCCTAAACCCTTAAAGTAGCCCGTATAGAACCCTTTTAAAGCGAGCCCTACGTTAGACTTGGGCCCGGGCTTTCTTGAGAATCATCGCTCGTCAGTGGTGGCTCGAAGGAACGTTGCGGTCGCACCCGGCAGCAGAAGCATCGTTGCAGAGGCCCTTAGCTTAAACTTGCCACGGTCTCAGTTTCTAAACCCTAAACCCCACACCCTAAAAGCCTTAAACCTAAAACCCTAAACCGAAAGCCCTACACCCTAAACCCTAAACCCTAAACCCTAAACCCTAAACCCCTCCCTACTCCAAGCCAAAGCCATCCGCGCCGCCGCGGAGTCGTCCGGCGGCGTCCAACTCCACTCCCCGAGACTCCGCTGAGATGGAATCCGTTTTTCGGGGTTTGGGGTTTAGGGCTTAGGGTTTCAGAGCTTTAGGATAACCGCCTTAACAATGATAACACGATAATAGTTCAGTGACTGGAAGGGAACACGATTACTAGCTACTCCAACCATCTGCAAGGTTTCATCAGAGTTGATAGGACTGTTGTCAGGAGCCTGATTTGAAAAATGCATACCCGACAGCACCCACCTAGTAAGCCCCCAGACATCCTCAGAAACCTTATTGAACATGTATTGCGTATGCTGGATGTAATCGCAGATCGTAGGTTTTCTTTGGTTAGGCCAGGTCATAGACTGGTATATGGCATACTAGATGTGCGGCGTGGCATAGGATTTCGGCAGTAGCAGCAATCCACACAGCATAAGATCACGTGGAACAGACGACAGTCCTGTGTGGGATACACAGAGAAGCTCATGAGCTTCCAGTAAACCTCCACCCTAGCCGGTCTACTTAAATGAGGTACTAGAGTGCATCTGCTGGATAAGATGCCAACTCCCAGCGTCGGGTACCCTTCATGTCCTAACTTGCTTTGAGTTTCACATTTCCGTATTCCCCAGCTCCCGAAGCGTTGGATACCCTTCATTTCTTAACCGTTTCTTAGCCGGGGCTCGAGCCCACGGAAGTCCATCAACTGAGCCAAAGGCCTTAACCATTACGCTAGACAGACACCGCCAGTACACTTCAGTCTCTAGTGTCTAGATGCAGCTGCCATCACTTCATGGCATGGCAGCTGACACGACGTTCCACAGCTGCGGAGCTCCGTTCTCTTATTCTGACCTCTGCCCCATGCCCTGGGGTTAGGACCTGGAATCCCCCTGAAATAAGAAACATAGCACCCTATATTTCTTATTTTGGCCTCTGCCCCATGCCCTAGGGTTAGGACCTGGAAACCCACCGACATAGGAAATGATCCCAAAACGTTGGGTACCCTTCATTTCTCAGCTAGAAGGCATTTTAAGATTTCATTTTTAGGTGCTATCCCGCTGACATAGCCCCTGCATTTCTTATCCAATCGTTTCTTGCACAGTGATTGCACTGAACTACAACAACCACAACAACAACAA